GGCAACAGCTGCCTCAGCAACATGACTTTCTTCTGTGGGATGGCCAGATGCAGGCGAGCTCATGGGGCTCCTTGCTCCCCTGGCTTTGCTACTGCAGAATGCCAACTGGGAGGACTGGCCTGACCCAGTGCCAGACCAAGTGAGGCACAGACCAGCTCACAGGGGCAGGGTCCAGAGGTTGTACTCCTGGCATCCCAACTCCAGGTCTCCAAGCCCTGCCCCTGCTACTGCCCTCCTGGTGCTCGCTTGGCTGTGACAGCATGAGCACACAGCAGGTCCCAGTGGTTCCCCCCAGCTTATGGTGGTCTGCTGGTGGGCAGCTGCAGAGATAATCCTTGCTCCTTACAGCTGGGATAGGATTGGGCAAGGACAATGAATTGCTGTGAAGTAAACATGGGAATGGGGAATACTGTCCAGTTGGCTGCTGCTCCCCAGCACAGGCACAGCTGTACCTTTTACACTCACAGCACAGACACTCTGCTCTCCAACCTCTTCCCAATCAGCTGCACCAGGGAGAGTGACCCTCAGAGATTATCCATCCCTGGAGAACTCACTGCCTCTGGTGCCCCTAATGGTCCCAGGCTGTGATTATCCCTGATAGCCTGGAGTGTTCTGCAGCTTAAAGAACAACTTGACTTTTACATTTTCAAACTAAGTCTGGGGTAGTTTCTAAGCAACCTGTTTCCATGGCAAAGAATCCTGGGGTTAATCCAAGTTTGTTTTCTGTTGTTGCTTTTTTTTCTTTAACTTAAATATCACTTTATTGAATGTTGCCTTGTGCCAGGTGGCTGTTCTGGTGTGCTTCAGCCCAGCCAGGGAATGACAGCTGTCAGTGAGTATCCAGCAAACCACACAACCGAACCAAAGGAGGTAAGATGCATAATTGCCCTAAAAGGGTCTCAAAATAGCTCATATTTGCCCCAGTTGGGCTAACAACTTATTCTACTAGCACAGAGCAGTTTGGCTACTCTGTTGCCTTGTCTTGTCCCCAGCTCTAAGCGAAGACATGGCACAGTGACCAGGCTGGCAGAAGGACAAGACTTCCTGGCTTTAGATCCCTGCTGAATGTTTCACTGGATACAGCTCACCACAGGCTTCAGTAAGAACTGGGGAAATTATTTCTGCATCTTGGGGGGGAAAATAAAAACCCCCTTCCTATCCAGACTGTTGACTGAAAGGTCAATCATAAACCTCACAGGCTATAAACATTTAGTAGTAAGTAAGTGTAAATTTCAAAGCAGTTGCCTGAAACTGAAAGACTGGAAAACTACTTGTCAGTCTTGACAGAGGCCAATGACAATTTCTTAATCTCTTTTCCTCCAAGGTTTTATTCCCTGGAGTGAAAAGCTTGTCGGGGATGGGGCAACTTTATGAATTGATGAGAAGCTCAGATTTACATATTGTAACACTTCCAGTTTGCACCACCTCCCCCAGTCTTGTTCCCAGTGCTGGGGCCTCTTTTGCTGCCCAAGTGTTTCTGGGCACTTCACCCACCCTTGCACTGGCTCACCTCCAGTGAAGGTGAAGTCTTATCTAGGGCTCCCTGGTGTTTCCAAACTCTTCTTCAGTAGGTTTGGTCTCTTGGTGGTTTTGCATTTGGTTTTTCACTTGTTTGGTTTTTTAAATGCTTTGGATAATATGTCTCTCCTGGCATACTCCCAGTAGTCATTTCTAGTAAAGCCTATTGTTATTGTCCCATCTTCTCTTCCTCAGACATGCTGGAGTTCTTTTTTCCCAGCATCTATTTTTGCCTGTTGAGTATTGCATGAAGCTGCAGTTACAAAAATCACTTACTCCCACTGCTTCATCTAATAAAGCTACAGGGTCCCATAAATGGGATTAAGCAGCCTCCTTGGGGCATGATAATATCCCTGGATGACAGCCAAACTCCCTTTTTCGTTTCCTTTATTTTGATTTTTTTTTTTTTGTGGCTCCAACACCTTGGTCAAAAATTCCTGCTCAGCCCTTTGCATGCCTACAGAATCCTCACTAAGTCAGGGTGTTTGGAGCTACAACTGACTTTGTGAGTCCTGACCTTGTTCTTGACAGGTCACAACCCATCAGCTGAATAAGAATCCAAAGAGCTGAGCAAAGGCCAGTTAGTATAAATCACTATGGCAAGCTGATTCCAAACATCCTTTTACCTCGTATGATTTCTGCAGTGATAAAGCTGAATTATGTGACGTACACTCGCACTCAGGCAGGGGCTAAGATTAGTTCTGGTCTATCTGTTTTTAGAAGCATTTAAATTGCAGAACTCCTCATGTATCATGCTGATAACATTGCCCTTGCCTAGATGGAAAGGGCCTTATGTGTGACAACCTGTGTCAGTTTTCAGGATTACTTTCAGGCACATGGAGAGCAAGGAGAAGGGCCAGAACTTACAGGAATGTGGTGGTTC